GCTAGGATTAGGAAGAGAAACTTGGATATTGGATCTATAAGGCAATGTAGGGAGCATGCTGATAATCAAGATACAGATTGATATATAAAGACATTATACAGTGCATGGAGACTGTTAGTTTTCGCTTTTTTGGGATAACTTATGGACTGTTTGTTGATTCACAGACTTTGGGACTGGTAAGTCATTCATGCTTCGGGCATAGGTGCAGATGCAAAATAAAAAGAGAAGGATAATGATATTTGCACACTCGGATCTGAACACCATATAAACAAAAAAAAAAACTATCACCCGGTCCAATTTTTTTTTTTTTTATGCGGAGGGTGCACACCTGGGTGTGCACCAGTCAGTGTCCAAAAGAGAGATATCGGAGAGGCAGAGAATTGGATTCCATGTATGTCTACTCTCTCCTTAATACAGAGTGCGTAACCTAAATTATTGTAGTAGTATTTTACTACATTACTTAGGTAGTACTGTTACTATTAATTACTGCAATTGGTGTTAAAATTTCTTTAATTCCACAACGTGATTTGGTACCAAATCACGTTGTGCATAATTATATTGTGCAGGAAACGTAAGTGATCGAGTGTACGTAGCATCTCCTTGTTGCCTAACACTTTTTTTTTTCATGGTGATACCCATTATCTTCTTATCTTCCAAAGAGATAAAGATAAGGTTATTCTCCTTCACGGTTCTTCTACCCCGTTAAAATGGACAAGTAGACCGACACAGAAGTTAGGCAACAAGGAGATGCTACGTACACTCGATCACTTCCGTTTCCTGCACAATATAATTATGCACAACGTGATTTGGTATAAAATGAGTAGTTCATTCGATATTGTTAATGACTCCTTAAATAAAATTAACTACTGTAATTATGTAAGAAAAATAATTAATGGATAATTCTTTTTTATATTCTTTTTATCTTAAAATAATTGTTATTTTTAAATTTTTTTTTTCAAATTAAAAATTTAAAAACAATATTCGTATTTATCTATAATATACTCCTTTAAAAAATAAAAAACAAAAAAAAATATTATTTGTGATTGGATGATTAATTGAAGTAAATAGACAATAATAAGGTTAAAGTAAAAAAAAATTATTTATCTTAAAAAATTAAAAATAATAATTAATTTATGACAAATTTAAAATAAAAAAATAATAATTATTTTAAAACAAAAAGAATATAATATTTTCGTATAAATCTATATATCATTTAACTATTAACGTTTTTTTCACTTTAATAAAACTTATGATTGTCTCTTTATTGAACTCAGCACAGAATCTTGGAGAAAGATTTTTGTAAAGCTATAAGGAATAATTTTTGCTAGGAAGGGTTAGTTTTTTTGCTGGAGACTTTTCTTGGATAGATTGCCAACCAAACTCAACCTGAAAACGAAAGGCTTCCAACTGGAGGGAGGTGTTTTCAACGTTGACAGTTGTGGGAGATGTGGAGAAGAAGCTGAGGATGAAGAACACATCGTGCTTATTTGCAGCTTTGATTATCAATTGTGGATGAACACCAAAATTTAGAAAGAAAGTGAGAGAGAGATGAGAGGCAGAAGTAGAGAGAGAGTGACTAGGAAGCAAGGAAGAAAATCAGCACGGACATGGGATCATTACAGCAGAATAGGGAGAAGCAGAGGTTTCCAGCCAGATCGGAGAATTGATAGGGCAGCATACAATCAAGCCATCCCATTCTTCTTCACCAACTTTCCAGGGGACTGGAATCATGAGCAGATGTGGAGAACCTTTAGAGGATATGGAAGAGTTATCGACATACACGTACCAGCCAGGACAGATAAGTATGGAAGACGATTCGGGTTTGTCCGATATCTTGATGTGCAGAATGTCCGTATGCTGGAGAGGGAGTTAGATCAGATAAAGGTAGGAGGGATCAAGATTCACGTAAACCAACCAAGATTTGACAGGAAAGCAAAAATACAGAGGGACGGAAGCCAGAACAATGCCGGAAAGACCATCAGCTTTGAAGCAAATAGAAGAGCAGATATGACTTATGCAGACATCCTTAGAGGCTCAAAGAAGAATGGACTTGGGAGTACACAGGCCACTTCTTCCTTTCTTAAAATAATTATCATTTTTTTATTTTAAGTTTATTCTAAATTAATTGTTATTTTTTCATTTTAGAGTGATCAAATATTTTTTTTCTACTTTAACCTTATCATTATCCATTTATTTTGATTCATTATTGTATACTCCTCTATCTCAAGATAACTATTAGTTTTTTTACTTTTTTCATAAATTAAGAATTTGAAGATAATATTTGTATTTATCTGTAATACTTTAAAAAAAATAAAAGATAAAAATAAACTTTTTGTTATTGGATAATTAATTAAAGTAAATGAATAATGATAGAGTTAAAATAGAAAAAAATATTTGTTTATCTTGAAAAATAAAAAAGTGATAATTAATTTAAAATAAATTTAAAGTAAAAAAATGATAACTATTTAAAAATAGAATAAGTAATAAAAAATTTTACTTTATATTTTACTAGCTTTTTGTTCTTATATACTTAGTTTTAAAAAAATAAAAATATTATAATAATTTTACAACAGATGAAGTGTACCTTATAATTATTACCCAATTATATGCCAACTACCACAACACATTACACATGATATTGTATAAGAAACTTCTTTTTTTTTTTAGTGAATTATAATTTGGAGAGAAAGAATTCATCAAACCCAACTTTTAAGATTGAGGGTGCATTTTTACGACAGTTATATACCATAGGGTCATGAAGCCCAGATGCGATATTGTGTAAGAAACCTAACAGTAAGTAAACTTTACATGAGATTATGTTCATCAAGCTCCGAAGTATTTGGCACAATTCCTACCTTCTATAGCTGAGCAGGGTATGGTGTCTGCAACGCGGACTCCCTCCCTCTGTAAGAAAATATTAAACTAATAAATAATTACCCTCCATTAAAAAAGAAATCCTTAAATTTTTATTTTATAATTTAAATTATATAAAAATATAAGGAGTTAGTGCTTGTCCATTCTATCTTTAAATTTTTTTTTAAAAAAAATGACAAAAAAACACTGTAATTCATATTTTAAAAATAAAATATTTTAATTTTTTCAATAGATATTTATTAAAATACTGTAATTTTAAAATAATATTTTTTTAATATTTAAAAAGTAAAACGAATAAACACTATTTTTAAAATATAAAATATTTAAAAAATAAACCTTCAATATAAAAAACATATATTTCATTTAATAATTATAATTATATAATTTAATACAATTTGAATTATATTACAATATAGCTTACAACTTTTGTTTTAAACACGTGCAACAAACAATACAACAAACTAAAATACAATTATTGACCCAAGGAAAGAAAATTAAAAATCAAAAGAAAAGAGCAATGCTAGGGACACTCGCCTCCTGCACTCTGCGGCCAACACTTTCTCTTTTATTGGGCCACGTTATTTTGGTTGACGAAAGGTTGCGCTGAAAGCTTTAAAGAAGCTTACGTGGCCCAATGAAAGAGGAAGTGCTGGCAGGTGAGTACAAAAAGCGAGTGCCCCTAGCACTGCTCAAAAGAAAAAAAACAAACACGCGTTGAGAAAAACATATAGATTTTCCAAAGTCATGCATCCAAGAAGGCTTTAAGGTTCAAATCAGAAGACCCGCCCTCTAGCGCAGCTTCTCTTGCCAGATCTTTCCATTTCGTTGCATTCAGTCTCATTTCTTCACTACCCATAACTAATTCTAAGCACCTCTTTATCTCATGACT